AAAAATCTTAGATAATAATTATTATCAAATTTAAATTTGCAATTTAATTTTAATAAGATTTACTATCGCAAGATATAATTACATCTATTTAGAATAAGGGTCCACGACCGGCTGTCTCATTTATTGACCCATAGGAGAGTAACAAAGGGTCATACTAAGTCATGTACACATCTACTAATTAATAAATTCGGAAAAAAAAAAAGATGGTTACATTTTGCTCAAATTATAGGTCTTATTTTCAAAATAAGGGTGATTTGCCCACTAAATCCTAGCATACTCACATCCTTTTATATATCCAGATAACCGATAGACATGAGTTTTGAAAAAATTAAAATTTTTCCGATTTAATTTTATTTTATTTTTATAATTCAATTTGGCAGAAAAATTGCAATAAATTTAGAATTTATTTATGAAGTAATTCAATTGAAATAATAAATAGACTTTTAGAAAACAATCTTTTTTATATTTTCAAAATATATACTTAATATAGTTAAAAAGTCTATGTTAAAGGAATTATAATAAAAATTATAAAATAAAGAATTGTTACAATTTTTCTTATTAAATCAAAAGGATATTCAATAGGTATAGCTCCCAAATAAGTTAGTAAAAAAAAACAATTAATTAATAATCAAAATATAATTTTAAATATGATGTTGAAATAAAAAGAAGATATTTTATTTTTTATTGAAAATGAAAATCTAATAATAATAACAATAGATATTAATAATGCAATCACTCCCCCAAGTTTATTAGGAATTGATCGTAAAATAGCATAAGCAAAAAGAAAATATCATTCAGGTTGAATATGAGGTGGAGTGATTATTGGGTTTGCAATATTAAAATTTTCTGCATCTATAAATTTGTAAGGGTTAATAATAATTAAATATGAAAATATTATAATTACTAAAAAAATCCCTAATAAATCTTTAATTGTAAAATAAGGATGAAAAGGAATTTTATCTAAATTTATTGTTACTCCTAAGGGATTTCTTGAGCCTTTTTCATGAATAAGTATAATATGAATTATTGTTAATATTAATAATATAAAAGGCAGAATGAAATGTAAAGTAAAAAAACGAATTAAAGTATTGTTGTCAACTGAAAACCCTCCTCAAATTCAATAAGTAATTGAAATACCGATATATGGAATAGCTGAAATTAAATTTGTAATTACAGTAGCCCCCCAAAAAGATATTTGACCTCAAGGTAAAATATAACCTAAAAATGCTGTTGCTATCAAAATAAATATGATTATGATTCCTGATATTCATACTTTTTTAAAATAAAAAGATGAATAATAAATTCCACGTGCTACGTGAATATATATGAAAATAAAAAAAATTGATGCACCATTAGCGTGAATAGAGCGAATTAATCATCCGTAATTAACATCTCGTTGAATATGAGAAATTATAGAAAATGCAGTAGAAATATCTCTTGAAAAATTTATAGCTAAAAATAAACCTGTTATAATTTGAGTGAATAAACAAATACCTAATAATGACCCAAAATTTCATATAAACGAAATATTAGACGGTGTAGGTAAATTAATTAATGGATTTATTAATTTTAACATAAGTTTAAATAAATTTTTTAATAGGAGCATTAATTCAATTTAAATTTTTTGCAACAATTATTAATATTAATATAAGAAAAATTATTATTACAATAATTATATTAACAAAATTTACTAAGTAAATTTTGTTAATATAAACTAAATCTAATTTTATTATATATATATTATATGAAATTAGTGTTAATAAAAATGTAAAAGTGACTCTAATTTTTTTATTAAATTTTATTTTTTTGTTAGGACATAATCTAACTATGTATATAAAAATAATTAATATTCCCCCTAAAATAATTAAAATTATTATCATAGATATAATGGAAAATTGATATGAATAATAAAAAACCATTGATAAAAATAATGTTAATAAAATTAAAGTTAGTAGTATTATAACTGGATGAAAAACTGAAGCACAAATAATTGATAAAAATATAACAATTTTAATTTCAGAAAATAATATATAGTATTAGTATGCAAGTTTTGGAGATTTGTTGAGATATTAATCTTTTCTGATGCTAAAAGGAAAACCAAATTTGATTTACAAAATCAACATTTTAAATTAAATTATTTTAACTTAACTTATGACATTTTTAGTAATTGTATTATATTTAATAGGAATTTTTATTTTTTTTATTAATCGTTATTATTTAATAATAATTTTATTAAGAATTGAATTTATTTATATAAGCTTATTATTAATACTTTGCATTTTTTTTTGCATATTTAATATTTTAGGTGTATTTACTTTTTTAATTAGAATTGTTTGCGAAGCTGGATTAGGGTTGAGAATATTAGTAATAATAAGATTTTATTACGGAAATGAAATAATAAAAATAATAACTTTAATTAAATGTTAATGTATATACCAATAATTTTAATTTTATGTTTTTTTATTTTTATGAATTCTTATCAAATTATAGTTTATTTAATAATTTTAATAATTTTATTAGTGTTAAAAGGTTTAATAAATAATGCTGAGATAATTATAAACTTTTTTTATTTTGATCTTATAAGTTTTAGAATAATCAGTTTAACAGTTTGAATTACTTTTTTAATATTAATAGCAAGCCGATTAAATAATCTTTTTCAAAATAAAATTTTTACTTTTTACATTTTAATAATAATAAATTTATTATTCTTTTGTTTTTCATTTAATAATTTTATATTATTTTATTTATTTTTTGAATCAGTTTTATTCCCAATTGTCCTAATAATTATAGGGTGAGGATCACAACCTGAACGAATTCAAGCCGGATTTTATATACTAATATACACAATTTTTGGTTCATTACCTTTATTAGTGCTAATATTAACAAAAAGAATTTCTTTTATAATTATTTATAATGAATGATTATTTAGAGAGATAAATTGAATATTTATTATAATGATTATAGGTTTTTTAGTAAAAATTCCCATATTTTTATTTCATTTATGATTACCAAAAGCACATGTAGAAGCCCCAATTTCAGGCTCCATGATTTTAGCAGGTGTTTTACTAAAATTAGGATTTTATGGTTTATACCGATTTAAAAGATTTTTTTTTATTGATTTAATCAATTTTAGAATAATTATTATTGTAATTTCTTTATGAGGAGCAGTGATAATTAGAATTTATTGTTTATTCCAGATTGATATTAAATCTTTAATTGCATATTCTTCTGTATCTCATATGGGGATTGCTTTAAGGGGTTGTTTAACATTTTATTTGTATGGTTCATATGGAATATTAATAATAATAATTGGTCATGGTTTATGTAGTTCAGGTCTTTTTTGCTTAAGTAATTTAATTTATGAACGATTTTACACTCGAAATATTTTTATAATTAAAGGAATAAATTTAATTTTTCCAAATTTAACTTTATGATGATTTTTATTTAGAATTGTTAATATATCAGCCCCTATAACAATAAATTTATTTAGAGAATTATTTTTAGGGTTAAGAGTAATAAAGTTTAGAATATTATTAATAATTCCAATAATAATATTAATTTTTTTAAGCGCTTGTTATTCAATATTTATGTATAGATATATTAATCATGGTCAGAGATGAATAATTTTTAGAAGAAATATAATTTTTGCTCGAGAATATTATTTATTATTTTTACATTTAATACCTTTAATATTATGATTTATAAAATTTAATTTTTTTATAAAATGATTATAAAAGTTTAATTAGTTTAAAAAAAAATTATAAATTGTGATTTTATAGATGAAAGTTTCATTAAACAATTTTTATTAATTGAACTTTAATGCTTTTAATATTTTCAATATTTTTTTTAGTTTGTCTTTTATTTTTATTATACAATAATTCATTTATTATTATTGAATACTCTTTAGTAACAATTTTAAGACATGAATTTAAATTTTACATTCTATTAGACTGAATAAGTTGTATATTTTCTTTTATTGTTTTGTTAATTTCAAGAATAGTTTTGTGATATAGATTTAGGTATATAATATTAGATAAAAATAAAATATCTTTTTGTTGAATAGTTTTATTTTTTATTCTATCAATATTACTTTTAATTTTAATACCCAATATATGTATATTAATTTTGGGATGAGATGGCTTAGGTTTAGTATCTTATTGTTTAGTTATTTATTATCAAAGAGTGAATTCATATAATTCAGGAATAATAACTATTATTAGTAATCGAGTTGGGGATGTTATAATTATTATAATAATTATTTTTGCAATTAATTTCAATTCTTTTGAGCTAGTTTCTTTTCGAAAATTTGAATTAATTTGAGGTTTATTAATTATTATTGCTGCTATAACAAAAAGAGCACAAATTCCATTTTCAGCTTGACTTCCTGCAGCAATAGCTGCTCCAACTCCAGTCTCTGCTTTAGTTCATTCTTCAACTTTGGTAACTGCTGGGGTTTATTTACTTATTCGATTTAATTTATTATTTAACTATAGGGTTTTTAGAAGATTTTTACTAAAAATTTCTTTAATAACTATAGTTATAGCTGGAATTAACGCTTTTTTTGAAAATGACTTAAAAAAAATTATCGCTTTTTCAACTTTAAGTCAATTATCAATTATAATATTAACTTTAGCTTTAGGCCTTACTTCTTTGTCTTTCTTTCATTTAATTGTACATGCTATTTTTAAATCAATGTTATTTTTATGTGCTGGGTTTATTATTCATAATTTAATAGGAAACCAAGATATTCGTTTTCTTTCAAATTTTTTTAAATTCAGTCCTACAATTTTAAGTTGTATAATTATTGGAATATTATCTTTAATGGGGTTTCCATTTATTGGAGGATTTTATTCAAAAGATATTATTATAGAATTTTTTTTTTTTAAATCTCAAAATATAATTGAAATAATTCTTTTTATTATCGGCATTTTATTTACTTTTCTTTATAACATACGCCTTAGATATATAATTTTATTAAAAGGAACTACAAATGTAAGATTATTAATAAATAATTTAAATGTTTTTATAAAATATCCTATTTTGATTTTATCTATAAAATTAATTATAATAAGAAATTTAATAAGATGAATAATTATTTCTAATTATTCAATTACTTTTTTGTCAAACCAACAAAAATTAATAATAATAATAATAATTTTTATTTGCATTTATGTATACAATAAAAGATTAAGAATTACTTATAAATTTTTAATAAATATGAAATTTTTCATAAAAATATGATATTTAAATAATTTAACAAGCTACATTTTATTAAGAAATAACAAACGTTTATTACAAATAAGAATCAATGATTGATCATGAATAGAAATAATAGGGCCCTTAGGAATAAAGAAAATAATTATAAATAATTATAATTTTAGTTTAATTAAGAAAATAAATAAATTTGAAATTATTTTCGGGATAATTTTTTTAATAATATTTTTATTTGTTTGTTTTTATAGTTTAATTAAAAACATTACACTGAAAATGTAAAAATATTATTTAAAAACATTTTAATTACAAAAAATGGTGCAAATAACTTTGAGTGTTATCACAAAAAATTTTGAGTTTTTAAAAAATAATTAAATTTATTAAAGTTAATTAAAAAATTTTAGTAAAAGTAAATTAATTTACATAATTTATCCTATCAAGATAATCCTTTTTCAGGCATTTTACTATCGCAAGATATAATTACATCTATTTAGAATAAGGGTCCACGACCGGCTGTCTCATTTATTGACCCATAGGAGAGTAACAAAGGGTCATACTAAGTCATGTACACATCTACTAATTAATAAATTCGGAAAAAAAAAAAGATGGTTACATTTTGCTCAAATTATAGGTCTTATTTTCAAAATAAGGGTGATTTGCCCACTAAATCCTAGCATACTCACATCCTTTTATATATCCAGATAACCGATAGACATGAGTTTTGAAAAAATTAAAATTTTCCCGATTTAATTTTATTTTATTTCTTTTTTTAATTAAATTAAATTTGGTTTTTAAAGAAAAAATTCTAATTTTTTTATACATTTTTTAAAAAACAAATAATAGAAAATTTATTTTTTTTAAATAACTAATAATTATTAAGAGTTAGAATAAATTTCTAGCTAAATTTGTGCCAGCAGCAGCGGTTAAACAAATAGAAAAATTCTTTTTATAATAAAATTTAAAAAATAAATTTAATTATATTTATTAAAAATTAAGGTGAAATTTTTTTTTAATTGAATTTTGTATAAAATTAAAATTCTTATAATAAACTAGGATTAGATACCCTATTATTTAAGAGCTTTACATTGTAAGTAAATATTAATTACGAAAGCAAAAAATTATGGCGGTATTTTAAGCTTTTCAGAGGAATTTGCTCTTTAATGGATAAAACACCTAAATCTTACTTAAATTTGTTAAGTCAATTTGTATACCACTATTAAATTAATTATTAATTTTAATTTATAAAATTTATGCAAATTTAAAAAAAATTAAGTCAAGGTGCAGTAAAAATTTAAGAATGAAGTGAATTACATTTCTTTTAAGAGATTATTAAAATTAAAATTTTAATTTAGGATTTGAAAGTAAAATTAAAATAGAATGTTAATTTGAATTAAGCTCTAAAATATGTACATATCGCCCGTCACTCTTTATTAAGATAAGTCGTAACAAAGTTAAAGTACTGGAAAGTGTTTTAAAAATGAAATCATTAGATGTTTCATTTACAATGAAAATTTGTATAAATTACCATTTTTTTATAATAAAATTAAAATAATTTAATCAATTTAATAAATTTATTTTATTTTTATTTTATTTTTAATAAACTGAAAAGGAATTTATTATTATAATTTAATAGAAAAATTAATGTACCTTTTGCATTAGGGGCTTTTAAAAAAAAATAAAATTTTATTTTTCTCGAAATATTTTGAGCTAAAATTTAATTTTTCTAATGTTCCAATATTAAAATAAAATAAATTTTAGAGGTGAAATTCTTATCAAAAAATATAATATCTAGTTAAAAAAAATTAATTAAATATTATTTTGTAAATATTAATTTATTTTTTAAAACTACAAAAAAAAGTTTTTGGGATAAGCTAAAAATTATTAAATTTATAATATTTTAAAAAATAATAAAAGAATTAAAATTTTTCTATTTATTTTTATAAATAAATTAAGTTAAATTGAAATAAAAGAATTTATTTTTTTAAATTAAATTTAATTAAAAATTTAAAAAAAAATGAAAATATTAGTAAAAAAATTTTTTTTTATTATTAATAATTAATTAAAAATTAATTTAATTTAATTTAATTTTTAAGAACTAGGCAATTATTTTTTTTGACTGTTTAATAAAAACAACGCATTTAGATAAACAATAAATGCAAATCCTGCTCAATGAAATTTTTTTTAAATTGCTGTAGTATTTTGACTATACAAAGGTATTGAAATAAGATTTTAATTGAATGCTAAGAGAATGGAATATCAAAAAACAACTTTCTTAAAATTAAAAATTGAAATTTTTTTAATTTGTGTAAAAACAATTATAAAAATTAAAGACAAGAAGACCCTAAGAATTTTTAAAATTTAAATAATACATTTTTTGTTTTAATTAAATTTTAACTGGGGCGGTTAAAAAATATTAAAAACTTTTTAATTTAAAAATGACCCATTATTAATGAAAATATGATTAAATACTCTAGGGATAACAGCGTTATATTTTTTGATAGATCATATTGACAAAAAAGTTTGCGACCTCGATGTTGGATTAGGATACTTTTTTAATGAAGATATTAAAATAAGAAGTTTGTTCAACTTTTAAATTCCTACATGATCTGAGTTTAGACCGATGAGAATCAGGTTGGATTCTATCTTAATAAAAAACAAATTTTATTTAGTACGAAAGGAATTTTAAAATCTAATTTTTAGTTTTATTTATTTATTTTATTTGCATCAATTTTTGTAATTATTAAAGTGGCAGAAAATGCAAGGAATTTAAGCTTCCTTTATGAAAATTTCCTTTCCTTTAATAATTTTAAATTTAATTTATTTTATAATATTAATTTTAATAGTATTATTAAGAATTGCTTTTTTTACTTTAATAGAACGTAAGTTTTTAGGTTATTGTCATTTTCGAAAAGGGCCAAATAAAACAGGAATTTTAGGTTTATTTCAACCTTTTAGAGATGCAATTAAACTTTTTAGAAAAGAAATAAATAAAATATTTTATATAAATAAAAATTTGCAAATTATTGCTCCAATTTTTATAATTATTATAATAATTATAATATGAATAATTTTTCAATTTTCTAATACTGCTTTAAATTTAAGAATAAGAATTATTTTCTTTCTTTGTATTTCAAGACTCAGAAGTTATTCTATCCTTTTTAGAGGTTGAGCTTCTAATTCTAAATATTCGTTAATTGGATCATATCGAGGATTCGCTCAAGTTATTTCTTATGAAGTAAGAATAGCACTAATTTTAATTACAATATCAATTATACCTCAAAGATTTAATTTATTTTACTTTTTTAAACTTCAAACTTATTATCCTTTAATTTTTAGAATATTCCCTGTATTTATTATTTGATTTATTTCAATTTTAGCTGAATTAAATCGAGTTCCATTTGATTTGGCTGAAGGAGAGTCCGAGTTAGTCTCAGGATTTAACATTGAATATGGATCATGATTATTTGCTATTATTTTTATATCTGAATATGGAAATATTATAATTATTAGATATTTAACTAATTATTTATTTTTAGGTTTTAAAAATTTAAGTCAATTTTCTATTTTAATAATTATATTTATTATTATTATAATACGGGGTACTTACGTGCGAATACGATATGACCAATTAATAATAATAGCATGAAAAATTATTTTACCTCAAAGAATTATTTTACTATTTTTAATTTATTTTATTTTTTTAAACATATTTTACTTTATTTGCATCAATTTTTGTAATTAATTTAAATCTAATAAGAATTTTAACAGCGAAAAAGTTAAGTGTTTAAAATTACACTATTTAAATTAAAGATTAACTTTATTTTATTTTTTTAAACATATTTTACTTTATTTGCATCAATTTTTGTAATTAATTTAAATCTAATAAGAATTTTAACAGCGAAAAAGTTAAGTGTTTAAAATTACACTATTTAAATTAAAGATTAAATGAATAATTCATTATTTTTAGGTTAGAAGCCTATATAATTAATCTTATATTTAATAGGAACATTCAATTAATTCATTAACAGTGAAACGCCTCTAATTTTGGCTTCTATTAAAAAATAGAAAAATTTCTAACTTCAGGCCGAAACTGAATGCAATATAATCGCTTTATTTTAACAGAAAAGGGTAACCCAATGTCTAAATGCAAATTAGATTTTATTTTATTTAAATACTTTTCTTAATTATTTCATTCAATCAAGTATTCTATAATTTAATTCATATAAAAGGCCTAATAAAATTATAAAATTAATTAAAAAAAAATAAAATGTAAAATGTAAATTTTTTATTATTATTATTAAAGGAAATGGTAGAATTACTACAATTTCGACATCAAAAATTAAAAAAATAATGCCAATAAAAAAAAATTTTAATGAAAAGGGGACACGAGATAAAGAAAATGGGTCAAATCCACATTCAAAAGGGGAATTTTTTTCTTTGGCTTTTTTCCCGGGAAAGCCCAAAGAAAAAAATAAAAATAAAAGAAGTCTAATAATAATAGTTAAAGTAATATATAAATATAAAATTATTTAATTTTATTAAAAACTATTTAATTGGAAATTAAATGTACTAATCATTATACTAATTAAATAATAAATTCATCAATATATAAATGTAAAAAGAAATAATCATACTACATCTACGAAATGTCAATATCATGCAGAAGCTTCAAAACCAAAAAAGTGATTTGATGAAATTAGTTGTTTTTTAATTCGAAAAAAAGAAACTAATAAAAAAATTGAACCAATTAACACATGAATTCCATGAAAACCAGTTGTTAAAAAGAAAGTTGAGCCAAAGATTCCATCAGAAATAGAAAATTGAGCTTGAAAATACTCAAAGCCTTGGAATATTGTAAAAGTAACACCTAAAATAATTGTAATTAAAAGAGAATTTAGAGTTGAAATATAATTTTTATTTATAATTGAATGATGTCTTCAAGTAATTGTAATACCAGATGAAATTAGAATAGTAGAATTTAATAAAGGAATTTCAAATGGGTTAAAAGGAAAAATATTTTTAGGAGGCCATTGACCACCAATTTCAATATTTGGTGAAAGACTTCTGTGAAAGAAAGCTCAAAAAAAAGAAATGAAAAAAAAAATTTCTGATAAAATAAATAAAATTATTCCTATTTTTAATCCATTTAATACTCAATATGTATGAAAACCTTGGAAAGATCCCTCTCGTGAAATATCCCGCCATCATTGAAATGATGATATAAAAATTATTAAAATTCTTAATATTAATAAGAAGAAATTTAAGTTTTGAAAAAAACTTACAAAACCTAAAGTTAAAGAAAGAGCAGAAATTGATCTTGTTAAAGGTCATGGGCTTTTTTCAACTAAATGAAAAGGATGAAATATCATAAGTTTATTTATCTTTCATTAATGTAAAGGCTAATTAAAATTGCAAATACAAATGCTTGAATAAAAGCAACAGCTGTTTCTAAAATTAAAAGAGTTATTATTAAAGGAATTGTTAATAGGAATAATATTTTTCTAAAAATTGTAATAGAAGAAAGTAAATGAATTAAAAGATGACCTCTAATTATATTAGCAGCTAGACGAACAGAAAGAGTAATCGGTCGAATTAAATTTCTTACAGTTTCAATAATTACTATAAAAAATCTTAGTATTATAGGGGATCCTAATGGCACTAGATGAGCTATTATTATATTAAATTTATTAATTAAAGAAAAAAAAATAAAAGTTATTCAAAAAGGAAATGCAAAAAATATTGTAAATACTAAATGACTTGATGAAGTAAAGACATAAGGAATTAATCCTAAAAAATTTCTTTCTATAATAAAAAAAAAAATGGAAAAAATAAATAAACAATTTTTAAATTTATTTAACTTTATGTTATTTCTAATTTCTTGAAAAAATTTTTTTCTTAGAATTTTTCAAGAAATTAGAAAAAATGAAGATGATGCTCAAAATTCTTGAGGGATAATAAATATTCAAATTACTAAACTTAATCAGTTAAAATTAAATCTTTGAGATGTTGATGGGTCAAAAATGGAAAATAAATTGTTTATCATTAAAATTTATAATTAAATTTGTAAAATATTTTTTGAATGTATTTTATTTTATTTTTATTTTTGAGATTTAAGAAATAAAAATGAATTGTTATTAAAAAAATTATTAATATAATAATTAAAGAAAGAATAAATCAATTTATTGGAAAAATTTGAGGAATTAAAAAACACTTTTAAAGTTATTAAAGAATGACATTCTTTTGTTATAGTTAATTAACTAGTTTTCTCATTGAAAGTTAACATTAACTATAAATTGGTTTAAGAGACCATCACTTTTATCAGCCATTCAATGAGGAATTAATAAATTTAATAAAATTAAGTATTGAAGTTAGTTCTAATGAAATTGGCATAAATCTATGATTAGCACCGCAAATTTCAGAACATTGACCATAAAATAATCCTGGACGTCTTGATATTGAAAAAGATTGATTAAGACGCCCAGGAATTGCATCTATTTTTAATCCTAGTGATGGAATAGTCCAAGAATGAATTACATCTATTGATGAAATTAAATATTTAATATTAGTATTAATAGGAAGAACTAAATTGTTATCTGTATCTAATAATCGAAAAGTTTTTTTTATTATTTCTCTTTCTGGAATTATGAAGGAATCAAATTCTTTGTTAAAATCTGAATATTCATAAGATCAATACCATTGATGGCCTAAAACTTTAATTGAAATTTGATTGTTAAATGTCTCATCTGTGAGATAAAGTAAATAAAGAGAAGGGATTGCAATAAAAATTAAAGTTAAAGCTGGAATAATTGTTCAAATAATTTCAATTTCTTGACCTTCCATTAAAGAACGACTAATAAAGTTGTTTGTTATGATATTAATAATTATATAAATTGTAATAATTGTAATAATTAAAATAATTATTATTGAATAATCATGAAAAAAAACTATTTGTTCTATAATAGGAGAGTTTATGTCTGAAAATGCTAATTGAGATCAAGTTATCATAAGTTTATTTAATAATAATGTTATTTTGATTAAATGAATGTTCTGAGGGAGGAAAATTTAATATTCACTCAATTGATGAATTTATAAAGTTAGAAAAATTAATTATTTTTTTTTCTTCAATTCTTAATCAAATAATAATAATTAATATAATAACCCCTACTAATGAAATTAATGAGCCTAAAGAGGATAAAAAGTTTCATTTAGAGAAAAAATCAGGATAGTCAGAATATCGTCGAGGTATTCCCGCAAGGCCTAAAAAATGTTGAGGAAAAAAAGTTAAATTTACCCCTAAAAAGGTAATAACAAATTGAGATTTTGTTAAAATAGAATTAAGATTTATTCCAAAAAATATAGGAAATCAATGAACAATAGCTCCTATAATAGCAAATACTGCTCCTATTGACAAGACATAATGAAAATGAGCTACTACATAATAAGTATCATGTAAAATAATATCAATTGAAGAATTTGCTAATATAATTCCTGTTAAACCTCCAATGGTAAATAGAAAAACAAATCCTAAAGCTCATAAAATTGAAGCGTTAAATTTAATATTAGAACCATGTAAAGTTGCAAGTCAGCTGAAAATTTTAATTCCTGTAGGAACAGCAATAATTATGGTTGCCGATGTAAAATAAGCTCGAGTATCTACATCTATTCCAACTGTGAATATGTGGTGTGCTCACACAATGAATCCTAATAAACCAATTGCCGCTATAGCATAAATTATACCTAAATTTCCAAAAGGCTCTTTTTTACCTGTATTATAACAAATAATTTGAGAAATTATACCAAAGCCTGGTAAAATTAAAATATAAACTTCAGGGTGGCCAAAAAATCAAAATAAATGTTGATATAAAATAGGGTCTCCTCCGCCTGAAGGGTCAAAAAATGAAGTATTAAAATTTCGGTCTGTTAACAATATAGTAATAGCCCCTGCTAAAACAGGTAAAGATAATAATAAAAGAATGGCTGTAATTAAAACAGATCAGACAAATAAAGGTATACGTTCTATAGATATGCCAATAGAACGTATATTTAAAATAGTTGTAATAAAATTAATTGCCCCTAAAATTGATGATGCCCCAGCTAAGTGAAGAGAAAAAATGGCTAAATCAACAGAAGGGCCGTAATGAGATAAATTTGATGATAATGGGGGATACACAGTTCATCCAGTCCCTGCTCCTGATTCAACTAAAGATGAATTAATTAATAAAAATAATGAAGGGGGTAAAAGCCAAAATCTTATATTATTTATACGTGGAAAAGCTATATCAGGGGCCCCTAATATAATAGGGACAAGCCAATTTCCAAATCCCCCAATTATAATAGGTATTACTATAAAGAAAATCATAATAAATGCATGGGCAGTTACGATTACATTATAAATTTGATCATTACCAATTAATCTTCCTGGTTGACCTAGCTCAAGTCGAATTAATATTCTTATACTTAATCCTAATATTCCTGCTCATGCACCAAAAATTAAATATATTGTTCCAATGTCTTTATGATTAGTTGAGTATATTCATCGCGGTAAAATGGCTGAAGTTTAGGCGGTAAATTGTAAATTTATTAATGAATATGATTCTTTTACTAATAAGATTTATTATAAAAATAATTTTTACTTTGAAGGTAATTAGTTTAATTTAACTTAAAATCTTCTTATATATATATATAAATTAAAACAATTAGAATAATTAAATTTATGTTTATATAAATATTTTTATTTATAAAAATATTATTTCAAGTAAAAAATTTTAAATTAATAAAAAAAAAAGGAATAATTATTCGTATATAAAAAAATAAATTAAGTAATGAAGATAAAATAAGCATGAAAATAAAAATTAATTTCAAATTTATTAATAAATAAATTGATACAATTTTTATGAAAAACCCTAAAAATGGAGGTATTCCTCCTAGAGATATTATTAATATAATTATTTTAATTTTAATTTCTAATTTTATTTTTTTTTTTATAAAATCAGAAAAAAAATTAATTTTATATTTATTAAAAATTCTAATAATATTAAAGAAAATAATAAAATATAGTATTAAATAAGCAATTCAAAAATTAAGTTTTTTTACTAAAAGACATAAAATTCATCCTTGGTGAGAAATTGAAGAAAAAATTAAAATTTTTTTTATTAATTTATGTTTTATAGCTAAAAATGATGCAAAAAAAGTTGATATTGAAAATAAAGGGATTAATGAATTATTTATAAATTTTTCTGCAATTAATAAAGGAATGATTTTTTGTATTGTTAATAAAATTAAAATAGAATTAAAATTTATTATTTCTCTAATTGAAATTAATCATAAATGAAAAGGAATTATACCTAATTTAATTAAAATTGAAATATTAATTAAAAATAAAAAGAATTCAATTTGTATTATATTATATTGAAATGCTGAAAGAAAAAATAAAGAAGATGAAAAAGCTTGAACTACAAAATATGTAATTATAGCATTTAAATTTTTTAATTTATAATTATTTATTAAAGGAATAAATGATATTATATTTATTTCTATTATTAATCAATAAATAAATCAAGAGTTTGATGATAAAGAAATTAATACAGTGATAGTAATTATTCAAATTATTAATTTTTTAAAAAAAATTAACAAAGGATTATTTAAATCATATTTGGGGTATGAACCCAATAGCTTAAAATTAGCTTACTTTGTT